AAGCGGTTTGCTTGGGTGGCGGACACTTCCTCCTTGTACTGGTTGTCCTCGCCCTCGGCACACGCCCGTGCGTCCACGTCTGCATTTCCTTCGATGGGCGAGGCGGGGAGAGGGGCCAGAAGACTCGCGAGGTCTTGCTCCGCCATAGGTTCCTCAATACGCCGAATTTGCTGCTCGTTGCTCTCGATCTGCGATGTCAGCTCGTAGATCCGGTTGCCGAGATAGGAGCCCCGCTTGTCGAAGTCCCGTCGAAGCTTTCCTTCCCTCTTGCTCCAGCCCCGGGCCACCGAACGCCTCTCGCACCTGGAAACCGTCGACTCTAGCGTGAAGCCTGCGCGGGTCGCGTCCGAACCGGCCAGCCGCTGTCGCTTGAACTTCCTTTCCTCCACGGCGTTTAGCCTGCCGAGGCTGTTGCGCGATTTTCCTGTGTGAAATTGGGATTTCGGGTGGAGGCGTCAGCTCGTGTGAAACATTTTCATACCACAGCAGCAGCGAAGTTGGACAGGAAAAGATCACTGCAAAGCACAGCGAGCCCTATCTGATCCCGCCCCCGGTATACAGTCGTCCCCGCCTAAAGACACTCTTCTTAAGGAAACTCCCCGCTATAAAGACACATTTTTTCCCCAGAACATGGTGCCCCGCAGATGTACAATAATATAGGGGGGTAGCGTTTCCACTACGCGGCCCCCCCAAAAAAATTTGCTGGGGCAGCAAATATATACTAGTACATTGTAACATCGACAGCGGTCTGCTGCAGCCCGCACTACTGCGTGTGGGTATGGAGAGATTCCTCCCATCTGCTNCGTCCCCGCTTTAAAGACACTCTTCTTAAGGAAACTCCCCGCTATAAAGACACATTTTTTCCCCAGAACATGGTGCCCCGCAGATGTACAATAATATAGGGGGGTAGCGTTTCCACTACGCGGCCCCCCCAAAAAAATTTGCTGGGGCAGCAAATATATACTAGTACATTGTAACATCGACAGCGGTCTGCTGCAGCCCGCACTACTGCGTGTGGGTATGGAGAGATTCCTCCCATCTGCTGGCGGGTCGTCAGCTGCCGGCTTGAGGCCATGTGGCGAACCCACGTGCCAGCAAAAGTCTCAACTCGTGTCAGCGGTTCACCAGTGCCCGTGCGGGCGATCCATGCACGCGTTTTGTGGTCGGGGCATCGGAGAGGAAGGCTACGGACAGCAGAGAGAGTGCTCGGATTGCCAGAAGAGCAAAGGTGGAGCCCAGGCTGGCAGCAGCAGCAGTCCCATGGAAGTGGATGCCGAAGAAAACGAGCAGGACAGCCGCAGGTGATTTTTTACAGCAGTCCCGTCGGCGAAACTACGGAAGCGTGTGCGTCTGGTCAGTACAGCAGTAGCAGTTGCTCTCTGACCAACAACGCCGCGAGCGTACGTCGCGATACAGCGGTACAACTGCTGTACCATTGACCCGCCTCTTAACCCTGAAACGTTCTTTCGCGCCTGCAGACGCTGGCTTAGCAAAAATGAAGTCACCTCTGTGCTCTAGCTTGAGGTGCTTTTCGACACAGAACTTGCGGAAAGTATCGATCCGTGCACTCTGTTGTTGTTGCACTTTGTATGATTGACATGTTTCTTCAAAAATGGCTCTAAAATGGCTCTGTGTTCTTCCTCATTGTCTGCTGGTCTCCCGAGTCAAAAAAAAATCCTCAGCAACAGGATTGCAGCAGTGCGCCCTCCCTTTCCATACGCGCCTTTGTTGCTTCTTTAGTGACGCCGTTTCACCGCAGTGTACATGTATGATGTGTGCTGCGCACATGACATGTTGCACACGAAACGTTGCAACATGTCATGTCGGGTACAGCAGTACATATGATGTGTACTTCGTAGTTTTTTACATCGGCACGCTGTACATCTTGGTTTTCGAGTCAAGTGCAATGTTCCTGATTTCCTCGCCACGCATTTAATTCTCCCACTTTGTTCTGATGACCGTGCAGCACTACACAACCATTTCGAGTGGAGGAGCCATCGGTTGGAGGAAAGGGGAAACGTCCCGCGGCTGATGCTGGCGTCGGCGGTAGCGCGGGGAAACGGGCTGCACCTGGTCGTGGCAGCAGTGCCGGCGGCAGTGCGGGTGGCAGCACGGGCAGCAACGCCGGCGGAAGCGCGGGCGGCAGCGCGGGCGGTAGTTCCGGCGGCAGCATGGGCGGCAGTGCGGGCGGCAGCGCGGGCGGTGGCGCCAGCGGCACGGCGGGTCGCAGCACTGGCGGCAAGGCGGGTCGCAAAGCGAAGCCCGGATCAGACCACGGCAAGAACAAGCTCACAGTAGGGCAGCGATTGCAAATCGTCAGGGCCGTACAAGGCGGCCAGCAAAGGAGCAAAGTTGCCGGAGACTTCGGCGTGGGCAAGGCGTACATCACCAAGCTGATGAAGCCCGAGATGATCGCCTCGCTCGAGAAGTCCCGTGACATGGAGCTCAACTTGGACGCCAAGCGCACGCCAACGCCGGTACACGCGGGCCTGGAAGCTCGTCTGAACCAGTGGATCAAGATTGCACGACAGCGATTTGAGGTAAGGACCACACGTCGTCCATTTCAGTCACGATTGATTTTTTTACATCCCTCGCCGCCTCGTTTCCTGTCTGTCAAACGGTAGTCTACGTTGTTTGTGTGATGACCTGTTGCAGCAGGTAGATAGGTTGAGAGCCGCCTGACCGCTTGCATGGATTCCAACCGAAGGCCCACGTCGCGCGAACGTCCACTGCTGCTGCTGCTGCTGCTGCTGCTTTACGACCATGCAGACAACCAAGCTCGGGTTGAGCGGTCTCATGATACAGACCCAGGCCACGAACTTCGCGTCCGAGATGAACGTGACTAACTTCACGGCGAGCAACGGCGGCTACATCGCTTCCTTGGTCGCTACGGCTTCGTGCACATCAACTTGCACGGGGAAGCTGGCGACGTGGACAAGGCGAAGGCCGAGAGGGAAATCGCAAGATTCGGGAGCAGCTGGAGGGGTTTGACGTCGAGTTGATCTTCAACATGGACCAGACGGGGCTTTTCTACCGCTGCTTCCCGAGGGGCACGTACGTCACGAGGGCGGAGGGCGCGGCAGGAGTCAACAAGAAGACCGCGCGGGGATCGAAGGCCATGAAGGCCAAGGACCAATGCACTGTTGTCGCCTGCTGCAACACCACCGGGTCGCTGAAGGTACCGCTGGCCGTCATCCACACGGCGAAAGACCCCATGGTTTTCCGCCACGTTCGCAAGCCACCTTGCCCCTACTACGCCCAGCAGAGTGCCTGGCTCGACGCTTCAATCTGTCAGCGGTGGTTTGACGAGGTCTTCGTGCCCTTCGTCAAGGAGAACACTGGGAAAAAGGTGGCTCTCTTGTGGAACAACTGCCCAGGCCACGAGATCAAAAACGACGACCCGCAAATCGTCATCATCTTCCTGCCCCCCAAAGTCACGTCCGTCTTTCAGCCTATGGACATGGGGGTCCTGTTTGCCCTCAAGTGCCAGTACAAGACGGNAGGTTCCGTTTTTTTTTCCTTGTTAGGCGAGTGACAAGCTGTTGCAGGTACTTTACCGTTTTGCAGCTGTAGACGAGTGCCATGCGACAGTAGTGCTGCAACAGGGTCTCCGACATAAACATGCCTGCCGTACACCACATCCAGCGAAATCCACCCTCTCTCCTGGTGATTAAAAACTGTTGATCATTTTATTTTTTTTTACTGTTTTCCTTGCAACTTTGTTTTGCAGGGGCTGCCGGGGCCTGAGCGACGCAGGCCAGGCAACAATGCTGGATGTGACGGAGATCCTTTCGCAGAAGTGGGAGAGCTTCTCGGACCAGA